TTTTTTTTTTTTGTTTTACTTATGGCAGCATTGATAATAAGTATTATAGGCTTACCTGAACACTCATTTTACTTCTATTAAAAGATACTTAATTACCTGTGTTCATCATAAGAGTGGTAGTTATGAAGCTACTCTGTTATCACACTTGTATTTATTTAATTGATCTTCACCAGTGTGTATTAAAGTCAGGAGGCATGCTGTTAAGTGCATCGTTTGATGCTTACACTCTTTTGAGTACTGGGCAAGTGGTTTTGATCAGTTTTATTAGTACATGTGGCATCAAGGCTTGGTCAGTTTGAGAGGTATAGTGTTAAAAACATGCAGACCTCACAATAACTCAGAGTTCCTTTTGGCTTCATACAACCATCTAGAAGAATTCCTTCCTGAAACTACTAGAGAAGTGTTTCAGCTGTTCAAAGCTGCAACTGTGCTTTCTCCACTATCAGTGCTGAATTTTGCTTGCTCTCAAACAAGGCCAATAAAGATTGCTGGTATCTGGTGGACAACATTTCTTTCTAAGGAAAAGAAATCATATTACACTTTTTGGTTTAAAGTCAGTGATAAGGAAAGGGAAGTTCTATTTCAAAAGCCCCAAATAAATGCAATCTTTTGTGGAACAATCTCACTGACTAAAGGACATATCTTCTTCCGTTCCTTTTTCTGCCCCTCCAGGGAACATCGGGTGGCAAGTAGGAAGGAGCGTAACACAGAAATGAACTGAAGCAAAGGAAAAGTGGAGAAAGCGCCAAGAGATAGTGGATGCATGCTGCTATGAATGCTGCCTAAAGGGTGTGGGAGCTTGTGTTCCACTAGGCTATTTTTTTAACTTGATGGTGGCACAGTATTGACTAACATGGGCGATAGTTATGTTTTGCCAGGCAGAGCTGTTCTAGAGAAGGTTGAGCTTTTTCTTTCTCAAATGATGACACTAGTACCAAACCAGCAACTGTTGGTCATCTCTTCTGCTCAGAAGCTGTGGCTTCTGCTGGCTAACAGAAGGAACATTGCCTACAGAAGACTGCATTTTTACTCGCAGCTACACCTGATCAGAACTTGGGATGTTAGGTTGCATCCAGGGCATCTGGAATGGAAGTTGCACATAAACAAAAAAAATCTCGTAGTGCTTATGCTTTTGGGTTTATATAAGAGGATTTTACTTCCTGAGCCCTTTGGAATGGGACAAAGAAAGGTACATCATTCTGTCTCTGACTTAGCACTTGATGTTTTTATTTCTTGTAGTTCTTTCCTCACACTTTCCCTCCCTAGCATGCCTTCTAGCTTGACTGTTCTGAAAAGCATTACTGAAAAATGCTAAGTAATCTCAAACAGATTAAGCAAGACAATAAAGAATTACAACAGCACTTGGAATGTACCAGCCAAAGAATGCCACGGATGGCTGACAAGTGCTCGTTCTCTGCTTGACACAAGATGCTGGGAGAGGTAGCTAACAAAACTGACATTGTTTTTTTGTCTGGGTTTTTTTTTTTTTAATTAATTGCTGCAGCTCGTTAGTGCAACTTAATTACACTTGTATTCCCCCTTTCCTTCTGCACATTCCCTCCCCTCAAAATTATCCTGCCACAAAAAACCCCATCAGGGTGCTGCCAGGCTTGGGCCTGGAATAAGCGTGGCTGCTCGGTGAAGAAGGCAGGTACAAAACCATCTGTGATCCATGAAGAAACAGGCAATTTCCAGCGTCCTGCAGCAGGTTTCAGCTGTGTATATGGCTACACCAATGTTAATTTAATGTGGAGGGGCAAACCCAGAGTAAGTTACAGCTGCTCTGAGAAGGGCTTGGCATGTTGAAATAGGGCTAAGCTCCATGCTGAGTAAAGACTTGGTGCTTGTACAAGTTTTTAGCTGTTCAGCATTATAGGAGTTAGGTTGCAGAACACTGCAATCCAGGCCAAATGCCTACTGCTAAGGCGCTGACCGTGTCTAAAGAATAGAGAGTGAGGGAGTCCTGGATGGACTGCGAGGGGGGAAGAAGGGAAGAGCTCTCATCTATAACTTAAAAAAATGAAAAAGCCTAAATAACTCAAATGTAAATAGCCCCCACCTAGTTCTATACAGGTAGGGAGGAGATGAAGTTGTGTTAGGGGATTTAGGCTCTTTTCAGAACAAGGGAAAGGAGAAGGGGAAGAAGCTAATAACAAAACATGAAACGTCCCAGGGTGTTATGCAGTGCTTCCTTCTTTGTGGATCCGTGGCGCAAGGAAGCAGCTCCGACTTGAACTGTACCTCTTGAGAGAGGCTCTCGGTGAACTTGTTCTGCCCGAGGTCTTCAGGCCTGTGCCTTTTGTTGGCTGGTACCACCAGGCGATGGTAGGAATGGTTCATCGGGGCACTTGGAGAATTAAAAACCAACCGCACGGCCATTCTTCAATGTACATTCATTGCTTTGGAAAAGAAGGAACAAAAAATGGAATGGAGTTCACCATCCTGCATTTCCTCTGCCAAAGATCCAGGCCACACGGGACTGTTTCCTGCAGCACCTTTGATGGTGGAGTGCAAGGTTTGTCCATTCTCTGGCTCCTCTTTATTTACGCAGGCCTGTAGGGGGGGGAAATTGAAGGCAGGACATCAATGCGGAGCAAGTACTAAGCTGTTTACTTAAGGTAACAGAAATGGTGTGGAAACAATGAGAACAAAATTGGTTTGGTTTATTTTTTTCCTGTTCTGGGTTTTTAAATATGATTGACTACAGATGAGGAGTAGGATTGAAAGCTCAGAGGTAATGTGGTTAAGCAGTCTTCAGGCCTTGAAAGAATGCTGTGCATACACCAGGCCTGAATATACTGCAGTTAGACTAAGGACGAGATATGAGCCAGAGTGTTAGATCTATGTATCCTCAGCATTTGGAGCTGCATGAAATTCAGTTAGGAATTTTAAAAGCTAGGGGTCATCTCTAGAATAAAGTAGCTCCTTGAAATTGAAGTGATGTGCTTTTTGTGTAGATGCAGCAGTATAAGCAGATCTACTGTAGACAGCAGTAATTATGAGTGAATGTTTTCAGCTGAAACATCACCTCTTAAATATGCAGCTTCAGGTTGATCAAAACAGTTTGCAAATTTATGTTGATATTCAGCAAATTGTTTGTTTGGGAAAAAGTCTACCTAGAAAGAAAAGCAGAAGAATTTTGTTTTGTGTTTTTTCTCTCCTCAAAACAAAGTGGGATTTTTTTCCTGTTTAAATAAAAGTTTCCTGCGTAAAGTATTCTGGTCATCAAACAGAGTTTGGAGGGGATGGGGGAAAAACAATCCTAAAGGAATTTCCCCCCTTCCTCTTCCAGTGTTTCAATCTGGTTTTTGATTTTTTTGAATTGAAGAATGTTATCTGTGTACTTTTCGGTTGATCTACTGAAGAACCCACTTTCAGCCTATAAGTGGATGACTGTTATATGGGCTCTAGTCCTTTGATGCTGCATGCTCACAGCTGCCTCGTGCCTATGGCTAGCAGACAGACTGCACCACAGAAGAATCGATAAGGGAGTATTAAAGTGGGCAATCACCAACTGGAGCCTTAGATCATCCAATTAACCAACACCTCCTGTTGCTACCCTGTCAATACTGAAGTCTACATCTGATAAGAGTCACACCCCATGTTACCCTATGGCCCTTTCCAGTGGTAGGTTTGAGGAAAGCAGTCCAATGAAATCTGGCTGCACAACTAAAATCAAATTAAAGCTCTTAAGCCATTAATGTAATGTAGTATTTGGGGTGCCAGATCACAATGAGTGTTATGGACAGGAGCCTCACAACTGTGCAGTCCACTGCTTGGCCTCAGAAACACCGTCTCAAAAGGCGGGAGGATCTATTGCCCATCTCTCTACCTTTTAAATAAGTAGAGGCTCCCTCCTGTCAAACGGCGGGTTCTAGAGTTAGCACTAAATCACGTGCAAAATCATGCTTTGAGACTATTCTGCTTTATAACTGAGATTGCACAGTGCTTCTTTCTAAAAGAAATTTAGAGAATGATGTCAAAAGAGGGAATGGATGCAGCAGGCAGGGAGCGCTGACAAGTGATCATGGTGATCTGGGCCTCCTGCTGTCTTGGCAGGTCTTGCAGGGTACTTGGAGAGAAGGGCTGGAGGCAGACACGTCAAAGCTGTCTCGGTTAACCTTGCCGCAGCTATACGGGCCGGGATGC